GTATCGCTGAGCTTCAGTCCAGGTCTTGTTCACATTTATATAATAATATTGACGCTGAACACATTCAGATATGGAGCAGAGAGCTGTGAGAGAGACACTTTGCTTTAATGCTTTTTAGTACAGAGTCAAATCTAATGAAACTATAAACCATGAATAAAACTACAAACACACTCACCAATGAGGAGAAGAGAGGAATATAGAGTTTGAGCCATTTCTGATAAAGAGAATAAAGACAAACTATCAGATTATCTCTGGATTTGTTTTAGGTAGTAAATAAGAACAAATGCAGAGTAAACAATCAATAAGCTCATCAACAGATGTCAGAAGTGTGTTTGTGTGTGGGTAATGTATATGTGAGTTGTTCTTACCTCAGAGGTGGTGTGTTTCTGTCCTCAGTCTGATGTTTCTGTCTGCAGCTTCAGACTGTGATTATTCCAACTTTTTTCCTCATTCAGGTATTGTCTTTATCTTTGATGTTGTCATGTTTACAAGTGTGATCATTTGAATGTGGTTAAAGATCAGTACGCCTGTATGTTTGATAATAAAGAATTTCCATAGTAGCTTCTCTGGAAAAATACACAGCAAAAAACGCTGGTCCTGTTCAGGTCTTCTATATCTCCAGAGTCTTTACTGGCCCTGTCCTTCAGCATCTGCTGCACCCTGGACCCTTCCCCTGTCTGCTCAACAATGATTCCCTTGGTATGACAATACATTCAGGCATGGGTTTTATTTATTTATACGCTTTGCAGAACTGTTGCATGTGATAATAAGAAAGAAACAGAGAAAATCCAATAGGGCCTACGCACCGTAGGTGCTCGTTCCAATAGGGCCTACCCACCATAGATGCTCGGCCCCTAATTACAGCTGAAACACTTCATCACTTGGTGTCTTCAGTCCCTGTTGTAAAAAGGATTGGCAACATTACAAAGTGATAAATGCTTTACTGAAATGTGTTGCAAGAACCACCACTGAAATATTTGTTTATTTAGAAAAAAAACAATAAAAATCATTAGGAACACATTAAGGTCCGATCCCAATTCTACTTCTGTACCCCTACCCCTTAGCCCTTGCAACCGAGGGTTAAGATGAAGGGCTTTAATATTTATATGTCCTCGCAATCTCTTGCTTCATGTAAGTTCAGATGATCGCGACTGCTGTAGTGAATCCAGTTGTGTTATTTTTTGGTATTTATCTTCAGGAAATCACTGAAGACATATATTATGTTATCATAAGGATCTAATGTGTCAATAAGATCGTAATTCTGTGCATTTACACAGTCACCATATTCAGTAATGTAAACACACCAAAAACAACAATAACATTATAGCAGACACTGTAAAAAGCCCATTCCCAGCCAATTGACTTTTCTGACAGGGTATTCCAGTGTCATTGAGTGTCAGAATGTTGTGGGACTGCTGAACAGAAATTATTATTAGGGATTATTGATCGCGAATAGAAATTTAGCGGTTTGTACTTTAGCGTTTTTTTAAAAAGCATGATGGTAAAACACGAGCAAGGTTATGAATATATTAAAAAGTGTTTATTTGTTGTAAAAATTCGTAATAATCACAAAAAAAAAAAAAATAATAATCAGTGGATCTCCGTACTTCCAGGTGCAGCTGTAGCTGGTGTATTCTGGGATATTTTTCTTACCCCTTGGTTTTGAGTGTGGTCCTGAAAAATCTTTGTTTGAAGGGGTGTATACCCCTTGACCTTAGCTCTACGCCTTCAATCTAAAGAGAATTGGGACACCATTACACCACTAGCCCTTCCCCTTACCACTCCCCCACCAAAACAAGGGGTAGTAGTAAGGGCTTCCTAAGGGATAGAATTGGGATTGGGCCTAAATAATGTTTGTTGTATTTTCTGGAATAAAATACAAGTCAAAGTATTCATTTGCCTTGTCCCAACTTTTTTTCTAAATAGGGTTGTATTTAAAGGGCAGTAGCTTGCCATATTCCATTAAATATTACAAATATTATTTGAACGAGCCTGTCAAGTGTTTCCATAAAAATTGCATATATGCGAAACTAAACAACAACCTTAAGTGATTGTGTGTTAGGGTAGGATGGGGTCAGTGATGAAAAAAATACATATATATATATATATATATATATATATATATATATATATATATATATATATAAATAAAAAAACATTTGGAAGTAATGCACATTTACATTGCACATTTATTGTGAATTTCCATACATCCAAATAACTTTACATATGTAGGAGGCGCTCAAGCTTGATGAGGATGCTTTTATCCAAAGTACTTTACAAGTGAGGATAAAAGAAGCAGTTAAATTCATCAAAGAGCTGCGGTATAGAAATGCTAAGATGACAAGTCCTTTTCCCCCCTTAAGCATAAGAAGAGGAGTTTGTCCTACAGGTGGTTTGTCAAGCCCACTCACCTGTGTGGAGCACACTCAGAATTGGAAGATGTTTTTTTTCTGAAATATGAAGTGTGGATAAGAAAGTGTCTGGCGCATATGAAGGTACACAAGTATCATTCAACTAGAATACATTTGAAAATATCCAGACCTGCTTAATGTTAACAGAAACAACATGATTATCTCTCCTCATTTGATTTTTATGGCTTCAGCAACCAGCAGTGCTCCTCTGACAAAGATTACAATATGTATTTGAATATGGCATTGGATAATGTCAAGGAAATGCTAATATCTTGCTTGCTTCTGTTCAATGTTTCCACACATTTTGTAGAATGAGTTGACTATTGTGCATGCTTACAATGTGTAGATACTGTTTTCTAAGAAATGTATTATCGAAAGGTAAATTCCGTAACAGTGCCAGATAGGTATCCATTGCCCAGAATGGAAGTCTGCATTAAAAATTTGGGTTCGGCGAAAATTGTCACGAAATTAGATCTTCTCAAGGGATATTGGCAAATACCATTAACGCTGCGAGCTGCACAAATTTCAGCGTTCGCTACACCAGATAACTTCCTACAATACAAGGTAATGGCTTTCGGGTTAGGAAACGCTCCTGCAACCTTCCAGTGCCTCGTAAACATCGTATTGTCTGGTGTTCCAAACTGCAATGCATACCTCGAAGATTTGGTAATTTATTCCTGTGACTGGGAGGAGCATTTGTCTGCACTTCATACTGTTTTAAATGGTTATCTGACACTTCATTGACTATTTGTTTAGCCAAGTGTGAACTTGGGAAAGCAACAATTACCTATTTGGCAAGGTGAGGCAAGTTTATTTATATAGCACATTTCATACACAGTGGCAATTCAAAGTGCTTTACATAAACAGGAATAAAAAAGACAAGTTTAGGACATAAAATGCAGACAATAAAAATGATTAAAAACAGATAAAAACAATTTAAAATGTGTTAAAATAGGTTATAAAAGAATGAAAAAGAAAACGAAAAACATGATAGTGCAATCTGTCGGACGCAGCACAGTGCTCATTCAGTAAAGGCACAGCTAAACAGATGTGTTTTCAGTCTTGATTTGAATGTGCCTAATGTTGGAGCACATCTGATCATTTCTGGAAGCTGATTCCAGCAGCGAGGGGCATAGTGGCTAAACGCCGATTCACCCTGCTTTGACTGGACTCTTGGAACTTCTAGTTTTTATGATCCTAAAGATCTGAGTGATCTGTTAGGTTTGTATTCAGTGAGCATATCTGTAATGTATTGAGGTCCTAGGCCATTTAGTGATTTATAGACCAGTAATAATACTTTAAACTCTATTCTGAATGTAACTGGCAGCCAGTGTAAAGACCTGAGGACAGGTGTGATGTGCTCTGATTTCCTGCTTCTAGTCAGAATTCTGGCTGCAGCATTCTGGATGAGCTGCAACTGTCTAACTGTCTTTTTGGGAAGGCCAGTGAGGAGTCCATTACAGTAAAGCAGCAGGGCGGTTTATTTGGGCAAAGAAGTAGGTCAAGGTCAAGTTTGCCATGTTAGTGCAAAAGTGACAGCTACCCTAAGCTTCCTGTTCCTACAACAAGACACGAGTTGCGTCGCTTTTTAGGAATGTCTTGCTATTACAGGAGTTTTTGTCATAATTATCCGTCTGTTGTTTGTCCCTTGACTAGCTTGTTGAGTCCAAAAGCTGATTTTGTATGGTCTGATGCATGCCAGCAGGCTTTTGAGAACATTAAGTTGTTGCTTACTTGTGCACCTGTTCTTGCCGCACCTGAATTCTCATGTCAATTCAATTGCAGTGCAATCTCAGCTGCATCCAATGATTTTTAATGCGCTCACCTAACCCCACCTCTGACGTCACTCACTCCATTAAGTGCATTGTGTCTGACATTGCATCGCTGAGTGATGCAATCTCAGCTTGCATCATAAAGGCTGCATCCAGGTACTATTGCACACTTTAGCCACTGATGGCTTAACAACAAATAATAATATGCAAAAAAAAAAAAAAAAAAAAATATATATATATATATATATATATATATATATATGTATGTATGTATGTATGTATATATATATATATATATATATATATATATATATATATATATATATATATATATATATATATATATATATATATACATATGTATGTATGTATATATATATATATATATATATATATATATATATATATATATATATACTTTTTCATAAAACAGGTGGAAGGGGTGTGAACGTTGTTTGGAACTTTCTTGTAGTGTGCACTTATTAGGTTTATGTATAGTAGGGTGCAGAAGTTAGGAATGTGCAGAAGAGAGAATGAGAATATCATGGTTTAATTGTTGAAATGCATAATCCAATTACTATTTTCTTTTACATATGTAAAATATAACACATAGAATTGTATACATTTGATGTAGATGGTTTGATGGGATTATATGCATATATAAGGTATGCAACAATAAGTTTGGTGTGGAGAATACAATATTAGATTATCAGCCGAAAATAATGTATAGTGCAAGTTGATTAAAAAAAGACTGAAAGACAATTGAAGATAACATGTAGAAGCCTTCGGCCAGAATGAACACCAGAAAAAACACATCAACATGCACAGATGCAGCATTTATTTTTTTGTTACAAACTACCATCCAGTGACCCAAAGTGTTACAAACAGTGGTTTAGTCCGGAGTGGCTTGCCTTTAAAATGAAAACTTGAACTATTTGATAAAATGATTAAAATAATTTTCTTAATTTGACTTATATAAATCAGCCCCTGCTCCATTTCATCTCATCTTGAACAATGTTCTTCATCCTCATTGATTAATCTGGTCTGCATTTGTTCATTTGTCACCAAGAAACAGTTTCATGAGTCCAGCTTTCAGGTAACTCAGAACGTCTTTATTGGCTTCTTCGGCTGTTGCTTGTCTCCTCATTTCCTCCAGCTCCTGAGCCCAGTCTTCTTTCCCAGCCTCCCTGACTCTGGGGATGAAGAAGTCCAGATGCTGGAGGGTGAAGGCGGAGTCTGGTTTTAGTGCCACCTGAGACAGATTCTTGATGGTTTTGTAAGCTTTGAACACAATCACATACTTTTGATCTTCAATCTCCTTCAGGTCTTTATCAAGATCATCCATTGCAACTGAAAACCTCTTATTCTGTGGGATTTCATAACCTTTTTTTAATTCGTTATAATTAGTCACAACGTCTGAAGTGTCAATAACATATTTCTTGTTGTCTTTGACGTGTTTGCTGTAGTGGCACTTCCTTGTGCACACGGTGCAGAAGCCGTCTCTCATGACTTCACAATTTTTGGGACTGGAAACCCACCAGCAGTCAAGCTCATGGCAGTTTTCCTCACAGACCGTGCAGGTTGTTGCTTTTCTGTTCTTCCATGATGCACTTACAATGGGCACCTTTGTTTTGATAGTCGTTTTGTATCTAATGCTAAAGTTTGTGCTTCTTTCAATCCTATCCTTGTTTTTTCTCATTGCCTCCTGAATCTGAATTTTTTCAGACTTCTTCGACTCTTTTTCTTGAATTCTCAGTTTTAAGTTGCTGATGGAAGCTTCTAGCTGAATGCGTTGAATCAAGACATCTGAAGTCAGCTCTAAACTACATCTGTTCTTTGCTTTCAAAGATTGAAGGAACTGCTTTGTCTCTTCCATACAGTCTTCCCAGGCGTCTCTTTGAGCACGAATGTAGCGCTTCTCATTGTGACGGGCATCAGCTTGACGATTGTTGAATATGAAATGAACAGGTTGGCCACCTCTGTCTCGTCTGCAGGGGATTTTAGCTTTATTAATGGCACCGAGGACATTTTTAGGAGGAAGACCATCAGAGTGTGTGATTAAAAACACAATGTTGTTCACAATGTCTTTCCCAAACAGAGACAGAACTGAGCTGATAATGTAGTGTTGTCTGTCTGAGAGACGATTATTAGATGCTTTAATCACAAAACACACAGCATCGACTTCTCGAACTCCATCATTGCTCTGAAACAAATAAGCTAAATTTTCAGCAACCTCCAGATCTTTCTCCAGTCCTCTAGTGTCTCCGTAACCTGGAGTATCAATGATGGTGAGAGAAATGGCACTGTCCTCTGGAAACACCTCATACATGGTGATTTCAGAGGTTTGGGATTCTGTTTGATCTCCTCCTTCTTCTTCTGTGATTTCATTCCATGTTTCATCTTCAAACTTCACTCCCAGTATGTAGTTCACTAAAGAGTTGATGAGGGTGGTCTTTCCAGCACCGGTCTCTCCCACCAGCAGAATAATTTTGTTTTGTTTTCTGGCGTCTTTTGTACCATACCTCCATATTCTGACTTTACCATTATCATCAAGTATTTTCCTCTCTGTATGTAGACGGAATCGTTTTGGAGGACCTTGATTAATCAGAGTTGATCTGCATGATGAACATATTAAAACAATATTTTAATGTAAAACAAGAGAACATGATTGATTAATAGAATTATAGATATTAACAAAGGCACTTCAACAAAAAACCTTTATTTGCTCTCACTTAGACATCATTAGTTTACCTCATAACAACCCCACATCACTAGCCTCTGACAGGGCATCACTATTTTCTCACAGCACATCATTAGTCTCTAAGAAAACACCATTAGTCTCTAACACAGAGGTCTGAAAATCAATTACTGGAGAGCTGCAGCTTTGCACAGTTTTGCTCCAACCCTAATCAAACACAGCTAATCCAACTAACCAGTGTGTTAAAGACAACTTGCCAGGAATTGAGACCTATGCTCTAACGGACATCATTAGTCTCTCTCAAGACATCACTAGTTTCTCTGAAGACATCATCAACAAAACACCTCATTTTGTCTCTTGCTTCGACATCCCTAGTTTACCAAATGACAACCCTACTAGTCTCTCACTTGACATAAACAGTCTCTCAGGACATCACCTGTTTATAATATCACTAGTCCAAAGGTGGCCAACCCTGTTCTTGGAGAGCCATCTTCCTGCAGATTTCAGTTGCTACCCATATCAAACACACCTGAACCAATTAATTAGGACCTGAACACCACATGATACTTACAGGCAGGTGTGTTTGATATGGGTAGCAACTGAAATCTGCAGGAAGGTGACTCTCCAGGAACAGGGTTCGCCACCCCTGCACTAGTCTCTCAAAGGACATCTCTAGTTACCCACTGGACATCACTGGTGTATCAATAGTATATCTCAGGACATCAGTAGTCTCTCACCGGACATCACTAGTCTACCACATGACAACCGCACAACACTAGTCTCTTAAAAGACATCACTATTTTCCCACAACACATCACTAGTCTCACAGAAGACATCAATTGTCTCCCACTGGACATCACCAATCTCTGAAAGAACATCTCTACTCTCTTACTGGACATAACTAGTCTCTCTCAGAAAACATATGTAGTCTCTAACAGGTCATCATTAGTTTCTCTCAGGACATCACTAGTTTCTCTGAAGACTTCATCAACAAAAACCCTTTATTTTCTCTCTTACGTGAACATCATTATTCTACCACATGGCAACCCCACAGCACTAGTCTCTCAAAGGACATCTCCAATTTCTCTAGTCTTGGAAAAGACATCAATCGTCTCCCACTGGACATCACTAATCTCTGAAAGGACATCACTACTCTCTTACTAGACATAACTTTAAGATCTCAAAACTCAGGGCTTCTGGTAGTACCTAGAATAGCAAAATCAAGTAAAGGAGGTCGAGGCTTCTCTTTCATGGCTCCTACACTCTGGAATAGCCTTCCTGATAACGTCCGAGGCTCAGACACACTCTCCCAGTTCAAAACTAGATTAAAGACCTATCTGTTTAGTAAAGCATACACTCAATGCATCACCTAGCGGGTTCCACACAGGCTTCTGCATCTTGTTTATGTACACTATGAACAGCAGCTACGCTAATTATTCTCTTTATTCTCTATTTTCACCTGGGGATACTCATCCCGAGGTCCTCAGATTATGCGGAGTCACTTATTGGATCCAAGACCAGCGACTAGATGATCCCAAGGATTCCATATCCGGGACCAGGCCGTATCCTGAGCTGCTGCTGCGCTGATGGTCATGCGGAGTTGAGAACATGTGTCTGATACCAGCGACGCTCCAGGGACAGACGAGTCTTCGTTGAGGCTATCTTCCATCCTCCACCACGGCGACTGAAGCTCTACACGAGACTTTTGGCCAGCGGAGAAATTAAAATGGTCGTGCCCAACTGAGTCTGGTTCTCTCAAGGTTTTTTTTCTTCACTCCCATCAGGTGAAGTTATTTTTCCCTCTCCGCTGTCGCCACTGGCTCTCATGGTTCAGGATTGGTGGAGCTACGCATCGATGAATTTGCTCTTCAGTGTTTGAACTCTCAGTAATGATTAAATCACACTGAACTGAGCTAAACTGAACTGAACTGAACTTAAACACTAAAAACTGAACCACACTGTTCCAGTTACTATGACCATTTATGTGAAGCTGCTTTGACACAATCTACATTGTAAAAGCGCTATACAAATAAAGCTGAATTTAATTTAATTGAACTAGTCTCTCAGAAAACGTCTTTAGTGTCTAACAGGTCATCGTTAGTCTCTCTCAGGACATCACTAGTTTCTCTAAAGACATCATCAACAAAACCCCTTTGTTTTGTCTCTCAGTTGGACATTACTAGTCTACCACATAACAACCTCACAACACTAGTCTTTTAAAGGACATCCCTATTTTGTCACAACAAATCTCTAGTCTTGGAAAAGACATCAATAGTCTCCCACTGGACATCACCAATCTCTGAAAAGACATCACTACTCCCTTACTAGACACAACTAGTCTTTCAGAAAACGTCTGTAGTCTCTTAACAGGTCATTGTTAGTCTCTCTCAGAATATTACTGGTTTTTCTGAAGACATCTTTAACAAAACCCCTTTATATTGTCTTTCACTTGGGCATCACTAGTCTACCACATGACAACCTTGCAGCACTAGTCCCTCAAAGGACATCACCAATTTCCCACAACACATCACTAGTCTCGAAGAAGACATTAATAGTCTCCCATGGGATATCACCAAACTCTGAAAGAACATCACTACTCTCTTACTAGACATAACTAGTCTCTCAGAAAACATCTGTAGTCTCTAACAGGTCATCGTTAGTCTCTCTCAGGACATCACTAGTTTCTCTGAAGACATGATCAACAAACCCCTTCATATTGTCTCTCACTTGGACATCACTAGTCTACCACATGACAACCATACAACACTAGTCTCCCATAAGACATCACTAGTATTTTAGAAGACATCACTAGTTTCTCACTGGACATAAATAGTCTCACAGAAGACATCACCGGTCTCTTTCAGGACATCTCTAGTCTTCATCAGGTTATCATTAGTCTCTCACAGAGCATTTGTAGTCACCCACTGCAGGTGGCAGATTTAGGCCTCCCCCCAAATCCCCAACTCAGGACATCACTAGTCTCTCACTGTACATAACTATTCTCTCAAAAACTTTCAATAGTCTCTAAAAGGACACCACTAGTTTCTCTGAAGACTTCATTAGACTTTCACAGGACATCATTTGTCTACAAACATTACCAATCTTTCACAGGTTTCAGTCGAGAAGAGTGTAGGTTTACAACCCTGGCATAATACATTCCAGAATGACAACAAAACCGGTGTGACAACTTTAAACCAACATGAGGAAATGTCAACCCATGTTTTTGTTTGTTTTTTTTATGATGCTATCTGTCACTACAGATAGGTTTGCATAAGCACAAAACATAACCAGAAAAGCAGAGCGTCTTCAAATAATACATCAACAGGACATTTCTGTGTTATACTTGTTTCTGCTGCTTATAATATACACTGAAAAAAGTGTTGCATGCAAAACTGTTGCAAACTATTTATTTGTGTTGAATTTAAACAAACAAATTAAAATATTTAATGTTCAACTTAATTTGTTTGTTTAAATTCAACACAATTAAATTGTTTACAACCTCTTAACCAAAGAAAAAATTAGTAAATCCAAGGAATCATCTTTGAATATTTTTTTTCAATGTAGTATTACTGTTCTTTCATGGCTAGTATTAAGATTTAAAAAATGACTTTCAGCTGAGTGCATTTAGAATTTTTTTAATTGGACCCAGCATTTAAAAAAGAAAAAAGAAAAAAAAAAACATCACTGTATTCAAGTAATTCGTCCAATTGGTCAAGTAAATGTTTCACAATGTCACAAAGATTCATTTGTCCCAAATAAGCAGACAAGCATTATTGTAGAGCACTGTATAACAAATTATCATCCAGTAGAAGATACATAAGTGCCAACTCACCTGGAACTCATGGTAGCCTGCAAGACCTCAGCAGAAGAACTTGACTGTCTCTCTCCAGTCTGCAAAACAATGCCTTACATTAATAGTAGCACTGTATTTAAAAAAAAAGGTCTTTAATTATATATTACATAATTAATTTGACTATTCTTCTGTTGTTTCTTGAACAAAATCTGTATTGCATAAAGAGCTCTAGAAATACATGTTGACTTGACCAAAAATATTATTCATTGACAAATGAAGTTTTGCTTTTAAATATAAATTCTTACACTCCAGCCTTTGCTCTGTCAAGAGTCCGGTTGAAGATCAAAATCCACCAAAAGAAGTGCTGCTTTAACAAGTCTAACTGGTTGTAGTCCCTCCCAGATCAGACATGTCTTAAAAAAACAAACAAACAGGGTTTTCTAAAGACATGAAGTGAAAGTGAAAGATTTATGGCAGGACAGCACTGAAATGACACAAGCAGCATTTACTAAGGTTTGCGATGGTCAGTGTACTGGTCATTGCAATGTTATTTAATGTCACCCCAAAAATAAAATTTTAAATGTATTCTTCCTCCAAAAATGAAAACTCATACAACAATAGCTGTTTCCATTCACCTATCTATATGTACATTTTGCATGCAAATCAAAAAGTCATGTGACAGATCATGTGATAACAAAAATACACTTCATGCGACAACATTTTTGGAATGCTAGCAGACCGACAGCATTATAAAATAATAACTGAAATGCTGTTTTCCTCATTGTAGAAGGCCTCAGCTGTTAGTCTGTCATCACAGTGCTTCAGTATTGTTATTCTTCTAGTATTATTCCCTCCAGAATTGTCTTGAACATTAGTCTGCGCTCCCAAAAAGCATCTTCAAAATCCACTGCATTTACCGTGTTCATTGTGTTTCGTCCTTATCTTTTGAGGCGTTGTTCTGATCACCAGTGATCTAGCAAGGTCGCTGCTTCGAGTCCTGACTAGGCCAGTTGGCATTTCTGTGAAAGAAAACTCCATACACACTTATTCACACACACACACACACACACACACACACACACACACACACACACACACACACACACACACACACTCATTAACTATGGACAATTTATTTCATCAATTCCCTATAGTGCATGTGTTTGGGTTATAGGGGAAACCAGAGCACCCGGAGGAAACCCACAACAACACAGGGAGAACATGCAAACTCCACACAGAAACACCAACTGGCCCAGACAGGACTCAAACCAGCAACCTTCTTGCGGTGAGGCCACAGTGCTAACCACTGAGCCACCCTGCTCAGATTTTGAAGTGTTATACTTATTCATTTATATTATTTATTCTCCAACAGAAATCTTAACATGCACCGGGTTTAAAATGTTTACATCCCTGACAATGAAATGGCTGATATCAAAACTCATTAGTAATGAATGAGCTTAAGAATGTACATCAAGTATGTTTGTATATTTATGTGTGTGTGTGTGTGTGTGTGTGTGTGTGTGTGTGTGTGTGTGTGTGTGTGTGTGTGTTGAAAGTTGTGATGAATGGTGCCATTATTAATTTGAGACGAAGAAGATCTTAACGCAAACCTCTCCCATACTCAAACATTCCAATACTTCAAAGCTCAACTTTATCTGAATCAGTCAAGTGTAAGCTAAGATCACGACATGACCAGAAGAGGGCGCGCAAGACTAATGAACAGAAAGGGAGGAAAATGTTACCTTTCTCTGACCCTCATCTGCTCTTACCTTCCCCTGACCTCCTTTCCTCTGAATGCATACGGCTAGCACAACTGACCCTGAAGGCCTGAGACTCTCTGTCCATGGGACAGGGAACTCCCTGGCAAAGACCGATGACACTCTGGGCATGGAAGCCGGGAGCCTCAGTAGTCGTGGGTACCTCGGGAAGCGCTTTAATGGCTTAAAACTGTCTAAATAATGTGCATGTAATTGTATGTTGATTTGTGTTCTTAAATATACCTAGGGACAACTATAAATTTGTTTACATAAGACATGACCTATATGTTTTGCTGACTATTAGAATTCTTGACTGAGTGGTCAGACACATTATACCGTTGGTCTTCAGTGATTTATAAATTGTGCTTTGATGTAATAGGTAATACCCAAATGGTGTATGAGTACTTGTATCCCTGGGCATAATTCAATATTTCAAGTCCTCATTGATGTGTGAAGTGTGTATCTGTGCATGACCTGATTTTGGAAGTATTATAGCTGGGCCATACTGGGGTGCGTTTTCCAAAACCATCATTAGCCAACTAAGGTCGCAAGTTTCGTCGTTACAAGCATAGTTTGTTAATTTGCCGTTTTCCAAATCCATTGCTTCAACGAACATTCGCAAACTGCGTCGCAAACTTGAGCTCTCGCAGCTACACCTCTGGAGCTGTAGTTAGAAACATAGTTCCTGGCTGTGTCCTATTCCCACTTATCCCCCCTATATGCCCTATTCATTTAGAACATTCTAACATTCAGAGTCTGTATTATTAAAAGTAAACAAGCATTAAGGTCATCTCTCTTAGGTGTAATTTGCTTTCAAACTATTTTTACAGTTCAGTTTTAGCGATCTTCATGTTTACAGTTGTGCTCACTTCGCAGTGCACTTTGAAAACATTGATGTCATTTTGAACACAGCCTCATGGCGAAAGCTACTATTTAAAAGCGGGATTTATGTTACTTCTCCAAAGCTTGTGAAAACAAAAAGCATACGGCAATTCTTTTAATTTATAGTAGGTTATTTATTAAGTATCTTTACTGAATATGACATGGGCCTGCCGCTTAGAATTTTCCGCAGTGGTTTATATGTGTCAAATTGTAAAAGTAGACTTTTCAAAAAAATAAATAAATAAACAATATCCTACTTAATAATAATAATAATAATAATAATAATAATAATAATGACAACAATAATAATAATAATTATCATCATCATGATTATTATCATTATTAAAATGTTTTTTTTTTCAATTCTTATACATTCTAAAAAATAATAATCATCATCATCATCCTCATGATCATCATTAGTATTATTAACATTATTATTATTAAATTAGTATTTTTTCATTTCGTAATATATAATAAATATTAGGGGCGAGGCAGTGGTGCAGTAGGTAGTGCTGTCGCCTCACAGCAAGAAGATCACTGGGTCAATCCTCGGCTGAGTTGGTGTTTCTGTTTGGAGTTTGCATGTTCTCCCTGCCTTCGCGTGGGTTTCCTCCAGGTGCTCCAGTTTCCCTCACAGTCCAAACACATGCGCTAAAGGTGAATTGGGTAGGCTAAATTGTCCTTAGTGTATGAGTGTGTGTGTGGATGTGTGTGTGGATGTTTCCCAGAGATGGGTTGCGGCTGGAAGGGTATCCGCTGCGTAAAAACTTGCTGGACATCATTCCGATGTGGTGACCCCGGATTGATAAAGGGACTAAGCCGACAAGAAAATAAATGAATGAATAATAAATAATAAATTAAATTTTATAATAAATAGCCTCATTATTTATTTATTTATTCATATGATTTATAAGTGATATTACAATACATGTTAGCTTGAGTGATTTGTTTTAGAATAGGATATGTCATATTCTCAATAATATTTGTAAAGGAAACACAGGCTCTACATGTTCCATTTACATACAGTTGAAGTCAGAATTATTAGCTCCCTTCAAATTCTTTCTTCTTTTTTAAATATTTTTCAAATGATGTTTAAGGAAATTTTCACAGTATGTCTGATAATATTTTTTCTTCTGGATAAAGTCTTATTTGTTTTATTTCGACTAGAATAAAAGCAGTTTTGAATTTTTTAAACACAATTTTAGGGACAAAATTATTATCTCCTTTAAGCTATATTTTTTTCTCATTAATCTACGGAGCAAACCACTGTTATACAATTACTTGCCTAATTACCCTAACCTGCCTAGTTAACCTAATTAACCTAGTTAAGCATTTTAATGTCCCTTTAAGCTGTATAGAAGTGTCTTGAAGAATATCTAGTAAAATATTATTTACTGTCATCATGACAAAGATAAAATAAATCAGTTTTTAGAGATGAGTTATTAAAACTATTATTTTTAGAAATGTGTTGAAGAAATCTGCTCTCCGTTAAACAGAAATTGGGGAAAAAATAAATGAGCAGTCTAAAAATTCAGGGGGGCTAATAATTGTGACTTCAACTGTATATATTCAGTCAATAAGCGAGAGCATGCTTTTACCAAAACTAATATCGGATTTTATTTTAAATGCTTGTGCGTGTAAAACAATATCATTTGCACAAATAAATGATGGGGTTCTTTTATAAAGAAGTTGTTACTTCACTCCGTTTAGAGCCCTTGTGGGCATTTTTCGCTATAACTAACGTGGTTCAAGCGATGAATCTGCGACAGAAAAACTATGCTTTTTGGGAAACACTCGTCACTACATCATTTTTTCCCAAACGATGCATCATACTATGAAAGTTCAGCCGTGAGTTACATCATTGTTTGGGAACACACCGCTGTTCAGCTTTGCGGTTTCTGACTTCTCTATACTGAGGTTGGTTGCCCTTTATCCTCAATGGAGGATAAAGTAAGGAATTTGTTTCTGCTATTCATCTTCTGTTTATTCTTCTTTTTCACTGGATTTTATTTTACTAATAAAAGTTTATTTTTATTAATTTTCTTCACTGGAGTGGACATTGACTTCATTTTCCAGAACCCATCAAGTTAACCTGTGTGGTAAAGTATGAATCTAATTTATTCTTTTGCAAAAACATTTTAAAGAAGATCCTCTAATTAAACTCTAGCTAAGAAATATAGTGAAGGGAGGATCCTGGTTTATCATTATGCTGGATTGCTTTTATTTAATTACCCCAATTAACCAAAGTACAAATATGAGGGATTTTAGATTAATGTTAGTTGATGGGACACAGTATATCTGATAATTATGTGTATGCAGTTTGTGTACAGTTGTATACAATTACTGACCATTCAACTTAATGAATTTACAAAAAAAATAAAAATTATTTAAATAACTTTATAACCAGAGTTAGGTGTAATGTGTTCCATAGTATCGGGCTACTACATTCTAAATACATTTTTGGGACAGCAGTAATGTAACGAATTGCATATTAGTTTTGTGTAATTTGAATACTGTTACTGAAGTCAGTGTAATTGTGTTACTTATGTTACAATTATAGTTTTTGGAAGAAACAAATGCTTCTTGTTTTTTGGTAAACTCACAAACACCAACAGGAGGCGCTACAATAAAAACTATCACTTTAGAAACTTTCACTTCCTAAATCTGAGCCAATAAATCAACAATCAGATGTCATTTTTACATTTATTCATATTATTTCTAGTTTATTTTGACTCATGATGGAAAGAAGCAAAGAGTCAGAAGACAAAAATACAGGCTGTAGATCAGTTTATTTCAGCTGATGTTCTGTTATCTTCAGTTTCTCACAGGATTTTATACAAAAACTTCACTTCAGCCATTCTCCTGAGAGACTCATGATGTTTACTCTAGTAATGCTGCTCACAGAAACACGCTCAAATAGTCATTAATATATGCAAAACACAACAAACACCACCAGATATAGAAGAGTTTTCAAACATATTTATCACATCTTAAATATATTAAAACTGAAGCTTAAACATTTGTGTTAATAAGAGCAGATTATATCATGATAAAATACAGAAATAAAGCAGACTATTGTGTCTGTTAAAGCACATATAGCAGATTCACTCAGAACTTAAGAAACAAACCAAACCTATAATAAAAGTAAATCAGAACAATGAACGTTAATAAACACACCAACAATCTCATCTTTCTCACTCTCAGTAGTTAGTGCAGATGAAGTTGAGTGTGTGAGATTCAGGAAGGCTGATCCAGGTCTGATCTCCTCCAGACTGAACTGCTCCTTTTCTGTTCTCCAGTTTGCAGTTTTCCGGTGTGCTGCCGTTCCCTGGAGCCCAGTTCTGATAGCACACCATGTCTCCATTCACCCAGAGCCACATGTTCATGCTGCAGTAGTTGTGTAAACCCAACCACACCGCCTCAGTAGACGCCAGTTTAACCACGTTCATCACACGACGCTGCATCTCCACTGACTGAACCGAGACCAGATCCACATGATTCTGTCTGCAGTATCTCAGAGCTTCAGACCATGACAGATTCTGCTGGATCACAATCAGTTTATCTGGACACAAAACAAAGCAGAAACTAGAGAGAGACTGATCAACAACAACATGCAGAACAAACACTGTGGAGGAATCTGTCATGTCAGACATGTAGAGTCAACTTTAAGAGATCTGAAGCTGATGATGGATTGAGTGTGTTTGGAGGATCTGCTCACCTTCATGACACACAAAAGGAAACTGGTAATGACAAGGGTTGTCTGCCCATCCTCTCTGAGCATTCGTTTCAATCACTGAACAGTTTTCATCACCGCCATAGTTATTTGGTTCAGCAGTGTTCCAGTATCTGAATGAGGAGTTGCTGTGATCTGACCACTGCCATGTGTCTCTGAACAGACCGATCCAGACTGCAGATCCAGATGAGTTTCTGTCATTAATGAACTTCTCCAGCTGTTGACTCTCATTCTGGTTCCTCACACTGACCAGATCAATGTGATTCTGTCTGCAGTAACTCTGAGCGTCTCTCCAGTTCATCGTCTGATTGACAAACACCAGTCCTGAGTTTGCTTGAAATAAAATAATAATGAATAAATAAAGGAGCAGCAGCAGTGAAATCATCATAATTCTCTGTCATTAAAGAAGTGAAATGTTATAATTATTATTGCTGAGATCTGCCACAACTGAACAATTCTGACAAACACATATACAGTCATGTGATGTGATATTATAAAACATTTTATATGATATATTTAGCTTTTTATAGCTTGAAAATATGTGGCATTACATTTACACAAGGATATTTTCACAACATGTCTGATAATTGTTTAAGTCTTGTTTGTTTATTTCGGCTAGAATAAAAGCAGTTTTTAATTTTTTAAACATCATTTTAAGGACAGACTTATTAGCCCCTTTAAGCTATGTGTGGTTTATTCATAAACTAATTTCGAGAGGATCACGTGCTTATAATCAACACGGCTGGCTTCTTATTAGCTCCGTAATCAGCCCTATTAGATTATTATAAATAACCTGAGTTTATCACTCCAGTTATCTTCGTCTTGAAGCTCCCCCCTTTCCACCCCTTCATCCTCCTCCTTTCCTGATTGGGCGACACGGTGGCCCAGTGACTAAGACTGTTGCCTCACAGGAAGAACACCGCCGGTCCAACCTTTCGGGCCGGTCGGTGTTTCTGTGCGGAGTTTGCATGATCTCCCCGTGTTCGCGTGGGTTTCCCTCGGGTTCCCCGGTTTCCTCCCACCGTCCAAAACATGAACCATAGCCAAATCGAATAAAACAAATTATCACCCAATACAACCTCAGTTCACACTTCTCACGGTGACAAGCAGGGGAGTTTTCGAGACCTACCTGACCTCGAACTCCCCTCTCGCCCTTCTAACGGGAGGGAGCCCCGGGCTCGAGGATATTACGAGCTCAGGGCTCTCTCCCGGGACAGCATGCCAAATATGCTTTTTTGATTATCAGCTAAGTGTGAACTCTTGAAATTATTTTTCGATAGTCTCCAAAACAAACCATATACAATAACTTTACTAATTACCCTAACCTGCCTAGTTACCCTAATTAACCTAGTTAAGCCTTTAAATGTCACTTTAAGCTGTATAGAAGTGTCTTGAAGAATATCTAGTTTAATATTATTTTCTTTCATCATGACAAAGATAAAATAAATTATAAAAAAAAAGATTAAAAAAACTATTATGCTTATAAATCTGTTGAAAAAATCTCTTTATTGAACAGAAATTGGGGGAAAAATAAATGGGGGTGAATAATTCAGGGGGGTCAATAAATAAAAGGACTTCAACTGTATACAGTTAAGTGACATTCAGTGACACATTTTCCTCTTCAGTTGGTCTCTCGAGATGGAATAGTATGACATTATGGGCATAACAACAGATAAGTAGATTAAGAAAATAGACTAATAAATGCCTATGAACTGGCGGGTACATCCATTTATGTAATATCTGAAAATGTAGGTACATCTGTACGAGAGCATGTCAGATTTTGCCTTCATATGCCTTAAGACACAACATTGCAGAACTGATCTCATTCACAAGTTCCAGTTTTCTGCTATCCAAGGGGGTAACCCACAGCCAAGCATCTTGGATGTGATATGATATGATGAATATTTGTTTACCATCTAAAACAAATGTTGTCTGGTTTAGTAATTTTAGTAATGCATAGTAAAATGATGAACCCACTGATGACAGCCACTTTGTGATGGATTTTAAGGTGATTAACAAGGTTTTTTGTTACCTTGGGAAGTTGGAACAGAACAGGAGCAAAGACTACCTGATCAACATTACATTACTGGGAAAAAAAACAAAAAACACTTGCAATCTAAACACTGTCACCTCAGGCTTGTGATGCAGTACAATCCGAGCTCCACCCATTAAAATAAGGGTTTGGTCTTTATACTGTAAAATCGCAACAATATTTAATTATTGATCGTGGTCCACAAATATCGTTATCGTGATAATACAATTATTCGTGCAACCCAACTTACTTTCATGTCTTGATTCTGCCTTGCCATAGACTGCTCTATCAGTTTGCATTTGAGGACCGGGGCATGACAATATAAAGTCCTCCTCTTCAGGATGTCCATGCCTCTACGAGTTTTTACCAAGCTTGCGGAGGGTGCCCTAGTGCAGACATTCACATTCTCAACTATCTCAATGGCGGTCTAAGTACAACTCAATCTCTGCAAAGACTCAGTTGAATATGCAAAGGAACATGGTGTTCTTCCATGGGGCTTTGGGTCTACCAAAAGAAGACCAAGCTCCCACCTGTACAGAGCATCTCCTATCTTGGGATGGAGCTGGAGTTGGCCTGTATGACAGCACACCTGACCAAAGAGTGCACTGGCCTGGTGCTGTCCTGTCTGTAAAATAACTGACAGGATGATGGTTTCTGGGGCATATGGCATCAGCAGTCACTATCATGTGAGACCACTTCATACATGGACATGCCAAGCAGTTATGCCCCGGGTGACCATCACACCTTCACCTACATCAAGCAACTTCAAAGATGCACAGCTCCACTAGTCCCAATCCAAGCAAGCCAGTGGGAAGCAACAAACTTCACCAGTTGATGAAAGTGAAGGAATAAAAACCTACAGAAAAAACAAGCTCAGCTGGGCGCAACCAATTCTCCTCTGGCTAAATGTCTTGTGCAGAGCTGCAGTCTAGGCGCAGGATGCTTGAGAATGATGGATGTCTGTTGTGGATTTCTTCTGTCATGGATTTCAGGGATATTTTTTAGAGGATTTGGATTTCAAAATGTATGCATTTGTGTTTTAAGTGTATGCAAATGCAAAGAGTTGTGTCTTTAATCTAGTTTTAAACTCAGTGTCTTTGCCTCCCGAACTGTACTAGGAAGGCTGTTCCAGAGTTTAGTTGCTAGCTGTGAAAGAATCTACTGCCTACAGTTGATTTTGATATTCTAGGAATAATCAATTGTCCAGAATGAATTAAAGGCAGTGGATGAAAGACACTGTAATACACTATGAACTCCCTCAAATACCAGAAAGCGAAGCCATTCAGGGCTTTGCAGGTTGTCAATAGGACATTTAATAGGGGGCTTCTCCTACTTCCATCCATTTCCAGTTTTTTTTTTTTTTTTAATTCTCTGTCCAAGGCACCATGGATGCATTGGCACACAGCTTTCCTCTGGGCATGCACATGTATGCATTTCTGCCAGTGAGCCATCTTGCACAGACCCTTTTTTTGCACTGACAGACCTGTGGTTCCAAACTCACCCTCCTCATGACAGCCCCTCCCTAGCCTAATCCCATGACAAAGGACCTCCTTTCTCGGTTGCAGGGCACCCTCTGGCACCTGCGCCCAGACCTGGAACCTCCACATGTTGTCCATAGACGAGGTATGGAAGACTTGGGTAAATGACCGGCTCTTGCTGGTTAAATCTATAACGGATACAAGGTCCACATATACCCTCAAGTGGAGTCTACTTGCTGAGTGGTGTGATTTTCGTGCTTTTTAGGACATTCCAGATCAGTGTTGTGCTACCCTTCCTTCAGGATAGGTTTGAGCAGAATCTATCACATCCACACTGAAGATTTACATTGCTGCCATCTTCACAATAATAAGTGGATTGGAGACCTGGAGTTAATTTCAAATCATGCCTGAAATTTAGGCTGAGGTATTTTCATGTTATCCTGAGACCTTGGCTTGACTCTTTCATTGCTGTGTCCTGTACATAACCTCTGCATTTACATAGACCGGACTCAAAGCACAAGATCTTCTGAGCAGCTCTTTGTCTGTTACAGTAGTCAGCAGAATGGAACTGCTGTACTAAAACAAAGGTTGGCTCACTTTATAGTGAAAGCCATCACCCTTGTATATCATACCCAGGGCAAGCCGTGTCCCCCAGGAGTGACAGCGCAGTCAACACTGAGGAGTGTCACCTCTTGGGCATTAGACATTTGTAGAGCTGCAGGCTGGGTGACACCTAATACATTCTCAGATTCTTTATAATTTTCAAGTGGAACCCAGTAAGGAGAAAACCAAGCTTTGTTTTGAAAATGCTTGCTGTGTCATTGCCCTTGACATGAGAGATAAATGCTCTCAGTCTGCTTTGCTAGTTCCCCACCCACGAACCCACAAAGAGAGTTCCTCCAATGTCCCAAATACTCGACTTGCAGAGAAACCAGGATGCTTGGCCTATAACGTTGTCTGATATGTCCGCTAGGTCAGCCGGCATTCTGGGGATTGATGCCTGCTATGCATGATCCCCTCTCTGTGATCCCATATTCATCAGTCATGGTGAGTTCCCCCTCCATAGGTGATTTCCCTACCAGCGAACCATATGTAGGGCAGTGTTTGTTTTGTCCACAAGATGTCGCTATGACACTGTTTTATCTTGGTATTTTGACATTTCTTGTGTTGTTTGAGCCTCTTTGCATACCGTAGTGCACCATATTTTCCTCAGTTTGTGTTATCAACACTGATAGGTAAGACGTGTTCATGATAGTAGGTTCCTTATCTAAAATTAGTGATGGTGAAATGAAGCTTTCTGAACCAGTGAAGCGCTTGACTCAATTGTATTGGAAAAAGGTTCGTTACTCGAAGCTTTCTAAATCAGAGCTCGATGAGGACCTCTTCTGGTTAAAGTGTGGGAAAGCACTTTGTTGCCATAATGTAGTAACATCCAAGGTATTCAAAAGTTTATCACATTACAACTTATCCTGTTCCAATTGAGGATCGAACCAGCAATTCCTGCATGGGAGGCGAATGCTCTAGGAGGAGTCTATGTGAGTGATGTGTGTAGGCGACATCCGCCAGCTCATCTCTGTTAAACACAATACTACGATATGCAGTGGTTTTCTTTAAAGATAGTTGTAAAAAAAATATGCTAATACACTTTAGTATGGTTCAAATCCTTTTTACTATAAATTACTATTGTATTTTAGTTTAATTACTGGTGTGAGAGACAGGTGCAGTGAATGCAAAACGAATCAAGCTCCGGTACACTGCTTCACTGCGAGATGTATCGTTTTTTTGATACATGCTTCGAAGCCTCGGCGCACAACGTCACATCACTATCTAAAATACATCTTTGTTGTTAATGCTCAAAAGTTCAGTTTACCAAGATATTCTGTGTACTAAATTGTTAAAGAGCAAATGCAGAGTTATATCAAAAGTTAAAAGGTTGTTTTATTTTTGTTATAAAGTGATTAAGGGAATGTACGGCTCATGCAAAGCCATTGTGTTGCAATATTTAGCAGTAGCTAATGATAATGAATGTTTTGGAGATATAACTTAATTTAACTGAGTTTGTGTTATCAACAATGATAGGTGCCCTTCTGTGAAATAAATGGTCGAGTCATGATCGCAAACCTCTCTTTGCCTGCACCTCCTGTTTATCACCCCACAACACATACAACACAACGCAGAGTAGCAGCGGTGGTGCTAGAGGCCACAGCGAGCCCGCAGAGAGGGCGAGTGGTTTACACATACTTACTCACATGTAGTGCTCCAATGGAAAGAGCCAGCCTATAAATGCATATTGTTACTGGGTCTCCCCATTTCAGTAGTGAGTGGCCTCTGCAACATCCTTCCCTGCATTGGGACTAGCACACTTCTCAAACTTACTGTTGTATTTTAAAAATCCCTAGAGCCTCAGCTTAGCTAGGAAAAAACTAATCATGGTCCAGCTAGATTTTAATTATTCATATATTCTGGTAATTAGGGCCAGGGAACATGGTAAGGTTGCATCTTTGGTGGTACTTGTGCGCTTAAGCTATCTGCATAGCACAAATCACACAAAACATGTGACAGATTCAGCTGCTGTGGTGCTTTACATATATTCTATCAAAATGTTATACCTACATAACTTGGAGGAGGAAAAGGGGAACTTCTTGGTTGTGGATGTGACACTCATTCGCTCAAGAAAGAAACAGTGATATTATGTTCCAGTGCTATAGTAGCTGAATCACCAGGTGAATGCTCAGCTACGCTTTTATATACTTACTCAGCTGATTATTAATGGCTTCACCGGTGAGGAGCAGCACTTACCAAGTCATATGCATTCATTGGCTTTTTCCAGAGTGATTAGCTATCTGGCAATGTACGGACATAATGTCTCTGTTCTCTCCCGCGGGGAGCGAGGGTTACATCAGTAACCGAGATGATTTACTAATACTCATGATAAAATATGCTGATTATTTTATATATATTTGATATCGTCAGATATACAACTTGTTAACAAACAGCACATTCAGTATGTACTTAATGTTTATTTGTTGTCCAATTTATTTTTGTTTTGTTTAGAAAAACAATATAAACCTATTCAGCTAATTGTCTTCTTAACCCCAGACTCAGCTGGCGGTAACCCAAAAATTCAAACATAAGAAAAAACATTAAAAGAAAAAAATTTTATGAATAAAATAAAAATATATATATATATACTCGCTGGGTCGCTGATTTGAGCCTCGGCTCAATTGGCGTTTCTGTAAGGAGTTGTGTGCATGTTTCTCCCTGCGTTCGTGTGGGTTTCCTCCGGGTGCTCCGGTTTCCCCACAGTCCAAAGACATGCGGCACAGGTGAATTGGGTAGGCTAAATTGTCTGTAGAGTATGAGTGTGTGTGAATGAGTGTGTGTGTGGATGTTTCCCAGATATGGGTTGTGGCTGGAATGGCATCCGCTGCGTAAAAACGTGTTTGATAAGTTGGCAGTTCATTCCGTTGTGGTGACCCCAGAATATATGTATATATTAATATATATATATATATATATATATATATATATATATATATATATATATATATATATATATATATATATATATATATATATATATATATATATATATATATATATATATATATATATATATATATATATATATATATATATATATATATATATAATTTTATTTTTTTTCTAGTTGAATAAGACTATTTTTCTATTATAAGGGTTTGTACTTACTGTTGTAGCAAATGAAGAAACAGGTGGCACTACATGACCAATCAAACCAATGTCCGTTTCTCATAACAGTACAATTATTACTGCTGGCTGGTTGTCCAGATGCCCAGTTCAGAAAGAGCACAGTATCACCTGAAGACCAATGCCAAGTATAAACACTCGTCTTCCGAAGACCAATCCAGATATTCTGAGCACGTGCTTTATTCACAGGCTTAATTAGCTCTATAGTGTCGTTCATGTTGTCAGCAGTGGCCAGATCTGTGTAATTCTCTCTGCAGTATCTCTGAGCTTCAGTCCAGTTCTTCACCTGATTTATAAAGTAATACTGATGCTGAACACATTCAGATACGGAGCAGAGAGCTGTGAAAGAGATGTTTTAATTTAATGCTGTACTGAACTAAATCAAAAGACAAACCTAACAAAACAATAAGCCCAAAATTAAAACTACAATCACACTTACCAACAAGCTGAAGGAAAAATAGAGCTTGAGCCATTTCTGAGGAACAGAAATATACATAAAAATCTGGATTAAAATATTTCCGCAGGTAAATGGTCAGCATAAATACAGAACACACAATAAGAGTATCAACAGATGTCAGAAGTGTGTTTGTGTGTAAGTAATGCAGATGTGAGTAGTTCTTGGGGATCAGCAGTGGCGCAGTAGGTAGTGCTGTCGCCTCACAGCAAGAAGGTCGCTGGTTCGAGCCTCGGCTCAGTTGGCATTTCTGTTTTGAGTTTGCATGTTCTGCCTGCATTCGCCTGGGTTTCCTCTGGGTGCTCCCACAGTCCAAAGACATGCGGTACAGGTAAATTGGGTAGGCTAAATTGTCCTTAGTGAGTGTGTGTGTGGATGTTTCCCAGAGATGGCTGGAAGGGCATCCGATGCGAAAAAACTTGCTAGATAATTTGGTGGGTCATTCCGCTGTGGCGACCCCGGATTAATAAAAGAACTAAGCCGACAAGAAAATGAATGAATGAATGAATGAGCAGTTCTTACCTCAGAGCTGGTGTGTTTCTGTTCTCAGTCTGATGTTTCTGTCTGCAGCTTTAGACTATGTGATTATTCTATATCTGCTCTCATCCGTCATTCAGCACGTCACATCATTTGTTTATTACTCTAAACAAAGGCCTTTTTTCATTGTGCTTCCTCATTTACATATGTTAATGTTCTTCTGTGGAAGTCTGTTCATTTGAATGTGATCTTTTAAGAGTCTGTATGTTTATAAAATAGGCATTTTCACATCAGCTACACATGAAAAATCCACTTTTCCATGTTTCCTTTTTTACAGGTGTCATTAACTTCCGTCTGTTTTACCTATAGAAACACTGTTTGTTGTCATGTTGTTATTTTTCCTCACAGAGTTCATGTCCAAACTTTATCATGTCCAAAGTTTTCACATGTACCAGGGGTTTATTTCAGAAAGCAAGAAAAGTGAAAACTCTGAGTATGTTAACTGTGAACTTATTCACAGAAATTTGTCTTTATTTTTATAAGAATTTTTAGTGTTGGGTGTGTGAAAGCATATATAGATTGAGACAAGAGAGTAAAGCCATTGTTACAATCCATGCTTTAAATGTCTAGCCAGGGTTGCCAGCATCTTTTTATTTTTATTTTTGTATCAGTACAAAAGACACTAAGAATACTCTGTTGATTTTGGTCACACAATTAAGTGTTATACACCATTCAAATCTGTTAGGTTTCTACTTTTGCGTACACTCACAATAACAACAGTGTGTGTTTTGTGTTTTTGCAAAATATGAAAAATAAACAGTGTGCACGTTCTTTCTTTTGTCTCTCAGCAAACAGTTTTTCGAAATGTGCTCCTAACATGAACTGAAACTCCACGAAAACAAAATACACAGACATGTGACATATATCCGTAGAAAGCTTGAAGTGTCTACATTTAAATGAAGTGAGTGCATGTTGAAAACAAATATTGTTTCATAAAGTGATCAGTATGAAACAAACACTATGTCTAGTTTCTCAGTCTAAGCTCATTAGTTTTAATGCAGCCATACCCATGAGGCTTTATTATTACAATCATCCGCGTGAGACATGTAAACTGGCAGATGCATCAGAAAAACAGCACACATACATGAGAGACACACCTGCATAAAGCTTGGAATGTCATTCATTCGTTCATTTTTCCTTTAGCTTGTAACAGTTTTTCCTGTTACTATTTGAATGTTCTACCTGTAGTAACTAGCTCAACCATTAGGGGGCGAACTAGGTATTGAGTCTTCAACCTGCTTAAAAGGAGGTAGAAAAGAAGCAGTAGGCAGGAAGTGTTGTGCTCAGCACATGGAATGGCTTCTTCACTTTACTTTTGTTTGATGGTGCCCTCGTTTGGAACATTTTTGTTCTTATACACAAATGTAAGTAGGCCTGTTATTTGTATATATTTCAGTTTTGTATATGTGTTTTGTGTGGAGTTGGCAAGCTGTTGATTGTATGTTTGTTTATATGCAGAGCGTTTTTGTATGCACTTTAAGACATCAAAACAGGACCTGGACAAAAAGGGACAATCCATCCTCATATCTGCAGACTTTCTTTCATCCACTTTCCATCTGATTCCATGGCCAACCCTTGATGTGATTCACTTAAGGTCTGATGGTATCGTTTTTTGCTTGCTCTAAAGACTGGTTTCAATTGGAGGGACTGTTATCAAATGCTCATTTCTATTGAAACGTGATCATTAATGAGTTGACTGCTGGGGTCTGTTCTTCGTACCTCACTAAAATGATCTAAAATGATTTGGCAGATCCTGGATCTGTTCATCTTGATAACTGATCTCTCGCTAATTTGGTTCTTTAAATAAGTTTGCAAATCAGATTAGAATGTCTGGATAAACTGATCTGAGATCGCTGCGTGTGTTGTGAAGGACAGATCTATCGATCCTTGAAATCATGATCAGCTATGATTGACTGACGGCACAGCAGCGTAATGACATCATCTGATTAATATTCAATTATCCATGTGAATACATTCATCATGTATTTCAATGCAAATCAATGTATTTAGCTCGACATTTAGAGATTTTCTTTGTTATAGTAGCCGTTTTTTTAATCGGTGTAAAGAGTAACTGAATGTTTAAAAAAGCATTTTGATTTTGGTAAAGGCGTCTGCAACTTTTGTAAAGCATCAAATCACTGGCATATTAACTGTCAAAACATGTTTATGACTGCATAAATGTATTATTGCTTTAAAAAAAAAAAGTAACATTGTGCATTTCTATTTTCATACACATTTGTACTAAAGCGATCTAAAAAGTTAATATCAATAAGTTTTCTTTTTGCACCACCAGGTGGCAGTCTTTGTACTTTCATTTCTGGGGTGCAGATTGCAAGTTTTATATATATATATATATATATATATATATATATATATATATATATATATATATATATATATATATTAATATTATTATTTATTATTTTTTTTTTTTTTACTTTTTATATTTTAACCTATTTTCCCAAGTGTATATAACTACTACTGTAAGCAAATATCAGCATTTGGTACATACTTCACGTAAGACGAACGGACCCCAAATCATGTCATATCTCTAGTGTGTAACAAGAATTATTTATTCCTGTTGTCATTTACATTTATTCTAAATATGCATGACTCTCTGAAAGTTATTTTGTGGTCCCTCAATTTCTTTAATGTAACTTCAAAAATGTAGTCGTTACAAGCTTAGTCCCTTATTAATCCAGGGTTGCCACAGCGGAATGAACTGCTAAATATTCCGGCATATGTTTTACACAGCGCATGCCCTTCCAGCCACAACCTGTTAGCCTGTAATTTTCACAAACAGCAACTGAGTTACATAATTATTAAAGTAACTAATTACCAGGAAAAGTAATGATTGTGTTACTTTAAAAAATAAAATGTGTCAAATGACCATAAAATAAATTGTAAACATTGTACATGTCCTCAACTATGCATCTATATATTGTTTTGTGTTAACTCTGTCTGAGTAAAAAGTGTTTGTGGTAGAGAAAAATTAAGTTTTATTTGCTTTGATGTCATGGCTTCTTCTCCTCTTTTGGTAGCAGAGCTCACGTTATCACTGGCTGTAGGAAGCCAAATTAACATATGCATTTGTTTATATGGTAAAACATGTCTTTTTCACCAAGTAGGTCAATACTGACTCCAAAGGCAAATACTGATAAGATCAGGGCTGGTTAATATGTGGACTTTAGGGGTGTTACGATATGGTCAGTTTGTGTGTCTCAGTATTTGGGCTTTGGTCGCATGGTCAAAAAAAATACAACATAGCCAATAAACTTTGCTCTGGTATCTTTTCCTGCTCTGGTATATTTTCCTGCTCAGCTCCTTCTGTTATCAAGCTCTCTTTTTGGCTTATTTTCTGTCTCTCTCTATCCCTCCCTCTGTCTCTTTCCCACACTCTCTCTTTCTCTGTCGCTCTCAAGTAACTTTTTATTTGTTATTTAAGCTGGGTACAATGAATGTGTTTTTATAATTTCATAATTTATCATTTTATAGTTACTTGTAATTAATTCAGTTGTAAATTAAATCATCTCATTTTCAAGTATTTGTGGTTTACTTTTGATTTAACATTCATTCATTAATTTTCTAATATTTTTAAAATAATTCTTTAATAAGCTGGTGTTTTACTGCATTGCTTTATTGCACTCCTACATTGGGCTCACATACACGTGCACTCTACTTGTTGATAAGATGTAGTGGGCATTTTTTTCTCGGTCTTATGCTGCGCTCACACCAGACGTAGAACGTACGTTAAGCGTGAATGATTTACATTTTAAGTCAATGCAAACGCGCGAATAGACATCCTGCGGTGCGAATGACACGAATTGCGCTGCACTAATTGAGCGTTTTGCGCGTTTGATGCGCTGAATGCACAAATCGCTCTAGTTCGAAAATCTGAAATTCAGCGGACAATCGCCCCACATTAACCAATCAGAAGCTTGCTCTTGTGGGGGCATGATTGTGACGTATAGACTGTTGTTGGTGACCCGGGGGAAATCCTCCAGCCGACACCAACAAAAAGTTTATCAACTGGGCTGGGCTCAGTTAGAAGCCTCCGTCAGTCTTCGCTGAAAGACTCCATCATCCAAGTTAAGTTTCTGGAGGAGTTTATGAGCTCACATAGCTAGATGGACATCTGAAAGAATGTAGTGGACTCAGACACGACCCTAAACGTATCAACACTGTTTTTCAGTCTTCATAAAGCACATAAACACTGCTATTTTCTTTGTAAAATCCATGTTAGCCATTTAGCAATGAAGCTAGAGTCATCGGGCAAACAGAAGCCCTGCCCATCACGCGAATCCGCGTCTGTTCTGAAGTAAATTTGACGCGCGAATGTAACGAGTAAACTCAAATGATCACGCGGCTACTTGTGAGCGAATAGCACGATTTATCTGCGCGTTCTGCGTCTGGTGTGAACACAGCATCAAGCTGAACGCAGTCGACCAATCACAACAGACTGGGGGTCATCAGACCAATAAGTGCAGTTTAGCCTCATGCTAAAAAGTGTTTTGGAACAAATGAATCACTTAACCTATCATAAGGGAGTCATTGGGATTACCAGGCAAAAATAAATGCATATTATAAAACAATGAAATTGTCCATGACTATGAATTGCGGAGAGTGGATTTATGGAAATATGTCCATGTGCTATCAAGATTGCGCGTGCACCCGCTCCTCCGATAGCGGCAACAGCAGGGAGGAACAATATGATGAATAAATGAGGTTAGTGGGCGTGTGTGTGTTTGCAAGTAATTGTGTGTGCGTGAGTGTGAAAAGTTAATGTATAATGTATAGCGGTGAAAGTTAATGTGACTTTATCACAGTTGACTTTCAGAATTATTTCTTACAGGGATGCTGTGTGCATTTTATTGTGCTCACAAACCATTCAAGTTGCCTCCATTTCCTGGATGAGTGAAATTCTATACTTGTATACCATATGTATAAATGTATTTGTTTTAGGATATTTTATCGTGTATATTTTTCTTTAGACGTGTAATGAACTCTAGGCTCTATAACCGTCATCTGAAGCGTTGTCATAGTGTTATGGCTGAATTTCATCAATAGTCTGGCATTTACTAACACAGACTATATTTGAAGTTTTTAGAATTAATTAGAATTTTCCTTGCATTTTTTTTAGATAAAAAATAAATAAATAAATAAAAATAAAAATTTTATATATATATATATATATATATATATATATATATATATATATATATATATATATATATATATATATATATATATATATATATATATATATATATATATATAATATATATATATATATATATATGAATATTTATATGTATTTATGCATGTAATCATCTTTGTGTCAGATTACTATAAATGATCTACCGCTTGCGCGACGTGTTTGTAATGCAGCATCTTTGTGGATGACAATAAATCTGACACTATTCTCTCCTCAAGTCTTGAAGACATTGAGGTTTTTTTTTTTTTTATTATTTCAGCAAGTTTGGTTGTAAAAAAATGATTATTTGTACTCTTCCATTTACTGCGCTCTAAGGTTATCCAGCTATGACGACTCCCGCAACTGAGAAACCCAGAAATGTGAAAAGGCTCTATTACACTGAAGAAACTGCACACAAACCTCACCACTTCTCAAGTCTGTCATCAACGCTATAAAAAATGCTTGTTATGTGGGAAGAACCTCTCTCTTCTTTTAATTTCTTTTATCAAATATGTAAATGGTAACTGTAAAAAAAACTACCGCTAAGTGCCATAACGTGATGAGTCAATCCCCCTCACACCAAGTAAGTCATGTGTATTTATATAGTGTATTTATCATATACGGCCATACACCCAAAGCACTTTACAATTACTAGGGGGATCTCTCCACACCTCCACCAGTGCAGCATCCACTTGGATGATTCAATGGCAGCCACAGGACATCAGCGCCAGCTAAAAGAAGAGCAGAGAGACAGTGATAGTGCCAATTCAATGGATAGGGATGATTAGGAGGCCATGTTAGGTAAGGGCCAATGGAGGGAGTTTGGCCAGGACACCGGGTTACACCCCTACATTTTACAAGAAGTGCCATGGAATTGTTGATGACCTCATAGAGTCAGGACCTCGGTTTAACATCTCATCTAAAAGACGATGCCCACTGATAGTGTTGTGTCCCCTTCGCTATACTAGGACGGCAGGTTGAGATCCCCCCCTACTGGTCTTACTGCCACCACTTTTAACAGCAACCTAGCTTTCCCATGTGCTCTCCCATCCAGATACTGACCAGGCTCAGGGCAATAATTCATTGGTCCAGCTCAATTAAGGGGGCCGGAACACCAAATGGCCCACCAAAATCACCCAGGTGGCCCAGCAGCAAGAGTTCGGTCAATACAAAAAAAGAGAACAACTAATCGACCAGCAGAAAACCCACGAGGGAACCCAACTCAGCAGAGGGAGTTCTCCTCATCCCAGAGGGAACACAAGCATTGCAAATTTGAATAAACAGTGAAAGGGATTCATTCTATGTTGTTCGTTTGCTTAGGTCCTGCAAAACTCAAGATTTTTTCATCCTTCCGCTCTCTCAAACTCTTCCTTTCTTTGCTTCTTTCTACAATGTGTATGGATGTGTGTGTGTGTGTGTGTGCTTGTGCATATTTATGAATATACTGCCTTACACTTAGATCTTGTTTTTTACTATCTTTCAAGAGGTCACACTTAGATAATGCTTGACTATTCAAGCAAGTGTGGCATGCTGTCCCGGGAGAGAACCCTAAGCTCGGAGATGGATGAGCCCAAGGCTCCTGCCTGGTCAATAAGCATAAGTAGGGATACGATATCAGGTAGTTCTTGATAACTTCCCAAGAATAGACCACCAACAGCGCCAGTGTGTTTGTAATAGGTGCTTGTGACTTTAACTTTGTTACATGTCTTAAGACTGTGAGAGAAAACCGAAGTACCCGGGGAAAACCCATGCAAACGCAGGGAGAACATCCAAACTCCAAACAGAGAGTGTGGACTGGCTCAACTAGTGTTTGAACCAATGACCTTCTTTCTGTGGGGCGACAGTGCTAGCCACTGAGCCACCATATCACCCAATCTTAAAATTTAGGAAGAGGGAGAAGGGATGGATGGGGGGTCCTCCAAAACGAAGATGAGGAATGAAGTTTAGGCTGGATATTCATATTAAATTTGGAATGATCCTAGTGGCTAGTAAGTGGTGGGGATCAGCTGTAGTCAATCTTATCACATGCTCCTCTCGAAATTAGTTTGTGAAACTTCACTTTGTTAGGCAGTATCCGTTTTTGGAGTCAACTGTTACTGTCTGTTCTAATGAGCGCTGGATGATTCATTCGTTCAGTTTTGGAGTCTTCTGAAGTCCTCTTCAAATTTTCAATTCTGTACTGAGCTAGTTTAAACTATTGATTTACCCACTAATGAAACTTTACTTTGTGCAAAAGTGTCTTTACAATGGACCAAACTACTCAAGATAATATGAATGTTAATAAAAGATGCTTCAGTGAAGAACAGTTCACAGATTGGATTCTCCTCCTGGAACCTTTATCTGTAAGAGTGTAGATGCCCCATCACGTTCACAACCACTGAATCTGACTGTTCTTTTGGTTCTTTAGTCTGAGCTCCCCAAAACAATTAGTGATGATACAGCATGTTTAACTGAGAGATCTAAATGTCTGACAGGGACAGAAGCTGGCAGTACACAAATATCATTCAACAGGAACATTCTGATGCATCCTGGTTCATCTAAAGTAAAGAAAACAACATGATTTTATCTTCCTCATGACGTCAATGGTCAACAGGGCTCCTGTGATAGTTTACAATAGATCATTGAACATGGTGTTGGATAATATCAGCGAAATGCAAATATCCTGCTTGCTTATTTGGTGTAGATGTTTCCATCAGTTGGATATTGTGCATTTTTACTGTATGTTATTATGTTTTCCAAGAAATTATTCATATTCTGTATGGTACACAATATGACAGTCTGTTGCTGGTCTGATGCTTGATCTAAAAGGGTTGTCCTTATTCGCTGAATGTGCTATTGGTGTTTTGGCATAACTTCCATTTTCTTCAACAGACAGTTGCATCATGCCATGGTGCGTTTGCTATTTACATGACAGATTTTGTAAGCAGACAAAACTCTTCACTAGAGAGAAAAAGGTTAAAGATCACCTCCAGAATGAGCCTCTTCCATTCAGCTTCTTTTATTGACCGTGAATTCAGAAAATGGTGACAGGCGCACTCCACTGAAGACAACTATTGCATATATAATTTCATCATTTTGAAACTATTTCTAAATTCATTTCTAATTTCCAGCAAACAAATAAATGATTAGTAAAACCAAAGTGTGGTTAAAAAAAATAAAATAAAATTGCTCATCTTTTTGGCTTAGGAAGATTAACTGTAAGTTCTAGTTCAAGTGAGGCCATATAAATTGTAATAAAAAAAACATAAAACCGTCGCACCTGGTGCCGCATTGCATTGTGTATGATACAGACCATTCAAGTGTCCCAGACTTCGTCCGCACTCATCTTCCACTGTTGTCAATCATCCTTTTATCTCTCTGGAGTTACTATCTGTTAGCCTAGGGTGGTGCGGAGATGATGCTCAATAGCAGTCAATTTACTGGACTTGCTCTGCTTCCACTCACTACAAACCCACATCGCCCCTTGCAGGCCTGGGTCACATAAACCTACATATACAAAACTCCCTGCAGTCCCTGTATAGACACAACGAGAAGAGAGACTAAGAAGAAAAGAATGAATACAAATATAGATTTTCCACACTAGATGTAGCAGTTGGAGAAATGCACACCACATGTTTTGAAGGAGTAGCAGTTTTACAGAAGTTGATTGATTTACATGCAAAAAGTGAAAAATTAATACAATAAAGACAAAGTGAAATCATTGTTGGAGTGCTCCATCACATCAGTTCTCCAGTAGACTGGTGCTGGAGCCAGAGCCCAATCAGCTGCTGGGAGATCTGGTTCTGGTTTTATACTCTATATAATGAATGTGTGCTAAAATAATATCAAAGCATTAAGAGTTTTTGCATATTATAACTCATTTTCCTATATTATCTACTGATTCCATATTGTAACTCTCAACACCAACAGGTGACACTTCAATAAAAATATCACTGCAGAAACTGAGCCAGACAAATCAACAGTCAGATGTCATTTTTACATTTATTCATATTATTTCTCATTTATTTTGAATCGCGATGGAAAAAGCAAAATGGTCAGAAGACAAAAATACAGGCTGTAGATCAGTTTATTACAGCTGATGCTCTGTTATCTTCGGTTTCTCACAGGATTTTGACTCAGTTATGTTTTATATAATGTATAATATATAATGAATAAAGCAGATTTCATTCTCCTGAGACTCATGATGTTTTCTCCAGTAATGGTGCTCACAGAAACACATTCAAATAGACATTATATATGCAAAACAACAACAAACACCACCAGATATAGAAGAGTGTGTCTAAACATACTTATCACATCTAAAGTATATTAAATCTGAATCAGAAGCATTGGTGTTAATAAAAGCAGATAATATCATGATAAAATACAGAAATAAAACAGACTATTGTGGCTGTTAAAGCACATATAGCAGATTCACTCAGAACCTAAGAAACAAACCAAACCTATAATAAAAGTAAATCAGAACAATGAACGTTAATAAACACACTGACAATCTCATCTTTTCTCACTCTCAGTAGTTAGTGCAGATGAAGTTGAGTCTGTGAGATTCAGGAAGGCTGATCCAGGTCTGATCTCCTTCAGACTGAACTGCTCCTTTTCTGTTCTCCAGTTTGCAGTTTTCCGGTGTGCTGCTGTTCCCTGGAGCCCAGTTCTGATAGCACACCATGTCTCCACTCAGCCAGAGCCACATGTTCATGCTGCAGTAGTTGTGTAAACCCAACCACACCGCCTCAGTAGACGCCAGTTTAACCACGTTCATCACCTCATACTGCATCTCCACTGACTGAACCGAGACCAGATCCACATGATTCTGTCTGCAGTATCTCAGAGCTTCAGACCACGACAGATTCTGCTGGATCACAATCAGTTTATCTGGACACAAAACAAAGCAGAAACTAGAGAGAGACTGATCAACAACAACATGCAGAACAAACACTGTGGAGGAATTCGACATGTCAGACATGTAGAGTGAACTTTAAGAGATCTGGAGCCTCATGTACAAAGACTTGCATTGAAATAACCCCCAGGGGTCAAAGACAGCTTATACACCTTTTGACATGTCTTCTCCTCAGAACACTGAAAAGAACGTAAATTACACTTTCAGTTTAGATCATACAGATAAGATCAATACATTAATCAAATCGGTTCGTTGTCTAGTTTCTTTGTTTACACTCACAACAACAAACGTGTGTGCTTTTGCAAAATAAGGAAAACAGAAATGCGTTTAAAGCCGGAAAAAGAATTGATATGTTCATCTTTCAAGTCCTCGGGTTGGAGTCATTCCGTCACGTGATGAACGAACGACTCAAGGACCAGAATACTCGAAAGGTGAACTAAGGATCATGGCTCCTGTCGGCTCAGACTGTGTACATTGGTTAAGGTTAAATGTGACTGTCAGTGTAACGTGAATGAACATCTGACATTTGAAGACATGAAGAGGTGATCTGAGCAAGGAGACAACAATACCTTCATTGACAAAAGAGCAGGTAAACATTGAATTATTATTTTCTCCTTCTTATAGTTTTCTATTTAATTTGACTTATTTGTCGTGTGATCAACCTTTTGGGCTAGTTGTAGATGTGTTTGGAAGCAATTCGTAACATTTTAATAATGTTTTGGCAAATTGAACCAAATGAACGAAATGACTCGAAAAAAGAATCATTCATCTCGATAAACGAGACTCAAAGATCCGAGTCAGTAAAATAATCTGAACTTCCCATCACTAGTTGAGAATCAAAAGACATGTGGAAGAAAAACCATTAAAGTGACAGCGTGCAATATGTGGACAGAACAGGCGGGGGAACTAACACCCTGAACTAACACCCTTTGAGGAGAGAGTTGCCTCAATTGTGGGTGACACTTTACTGTCTGGAGTAGTATCCATGTCTGTGAGAGACACAGATGTATTAGAGGAACACTTTGTTAGGGTAGTATAGCAGCACCCCTCCTTTCTTATCAAGGCAGCGTCACTGGCATTTCAGCTGCCCAATCGCAGCTACAACTGACCGAGTGCGAGAGTGGGCATCATTGTATCTGTGCTGTTGGTCAGTTTGTGGGTTGTTGAGGGGGGTTAACAGCCACGTCTTTAACGGACTACCGCGGTTTGCTGATACGCAGTTAAATAATTACGCTTAATAAAAAAATAAATAAATAAACTGGAATAATATCTTTAAATACATCACTCACCAAGAAGCCACCCATCGCCCACCCTGCCACCTTGGAGCCTCATCCCAACCATGAGGATAAATTAATCATGGTTTGACCAAGGTTACCCTGCCACAATATTTGTTAAGCGTATTTAAGCATCACCAGGGCCGGAATGGGACTCTTTTTCAGCCCTGGAGTTTTAAGCCTCAGACCAGCCCACCTCAGTTCACCACTGACTATATTAAAATAAGGTTATTTCCAATTCAGGTTCTAATGACACTATCAGGTCTTTTTTTGAGAAAACAGCTCTTTTAGAACTTCAAATGTTCAACAACCCTAACAGTATTATGTCTTAACAATAAAAATGAAAAAAAAAATTGTTACTCAGACAAGGACCAAACCCAGGTTGGCCACGTCATAATCTAACGTACTAACCACTGTACCACAACAGCTGTACGATGAATGGTGACTTATCTAGTTATATCACCATTAACCTGCAGGCTGCATCCTGCTCACGAGGCTACGAGAAAATAGATAAAAAGAGCAGAGCTGCGGTAAAATAATGAATAAGAAGACTGTGGTCAAGTAAATAAATAAATTATTTTTAAAAAGTGTGACTGCTGAGAGCAACAGATTCTGGAACTTGGGACACCGGCCCTCGCGGCCAAAAAACGGACCGGCCCACCGGGAATTCTCCCGGTCCTCCCTATTAGCCAATCCGGGCCTGAGCATCACATATTATTTGCACTTTCCCAGAAATGGGTTGCAGCTGGAAGGGCATCCGCTGCATAAAACATATGCTGGATAAGTTGGTGGTTCTATCTGCTGTGGCGGTCCTAGATTAATAAAGGGACTAAAAAGAAATTGAATGAATGAATGTTATTTGCACATTTATTGAATGAAAATGTTTCTGATTCACGTACGCAAATTTGTCTTCAGATGCCGCCTTTATAGCAATGTGTGTGCAGTTGATCGCTCCGATTACATTGGGAAAACCTGCAATTGCTGCAAATTGTGCTTGAATGTTTGGCTGGTCAATGGCATTGTATGGAAACCTTATATACCTGCTTGCCATGCAGATGATCCCATCCCATACAGCTTGCATTGCACGGCTCAAAGGCAACTGGCTTAACCTCGAGCAGTCTGCCAGTTCCCGACAATTCAACCATTGACAATGTCCTTTAATAAGGCCAACACTGTCATTGCCATAGGCTAAGGGTTGTTAACATTTGCAAATACTTTTATATGTTCTAAATCACATAATTGGTAAAAAAATAAATAAATAAATTGTGTCAATGAACCCATTTTTTTCAATTATAAATGAATAGCAATGCTTTTCACATGTGTTGGTCTGATACTTTGTAGTGTGGAATTTAGCATAATTGCCTCTAAAAGTCGCCAATGGAAATAAAACAAACACACACAAGAATCGCATGTACGCCAGACATGAAGTTGGCGAGGACCAATGCATATTCTCACGTTAGTTGTAACGTTAGTAAATCCAAACGTGAGTGTAAAACCTGGCGTTTGCAAATTTTTTTGTGTGTACGCAGTGTTGATACATGAGACCCCTAAAGCCGATGATGGATTGAGTGTGTTTGGAGGATCTGCTCACCTTCATGACACACAAAAGGAAACTGGTGAAAATTAGAGTAGTCAGCCCATCGTCCCTGTGTGTTTGGTTGAATCGCTGCACATCCTGTAAAATCTCTAAAAGTATCAGCCCAGTATCTGAATGAGGAGTTGCTCTGATCTGACCACTGCCATGTGTCTCTGAACAGACCGATCCAGACTGGAGATCCAGATAAGCTTCGGTCATTAATGAACTGCTCCAGCTGTTGATTCTCATTCTGGTTCCTCACACTGACCAGATCAGTGTGATTCTGTCTGCAGTAACTCTGAGCGGCTCTCCAGTTCATCAACTGACTGACAAACACCAGTCCTCCGCTCACTTTAAAAAATGAATAAATGAATGTATGAATAAACAGGAACATCATCAGAAATGCTTTTTCTTATCAAAGAAATTAGTTGGTATTTTAATAATATTATTGACATTTGTACCAGCAGAACATCCGACAAAAAAAAAAAAAAAAAAAAAAAAAAAAAAAAAAAATAGAATGTCCTATTACAAAATGTGTTAAATTTTAGATTTAGCGTTTTACAATTTGAATATATAAATTAATTTACAAATATATTTTTATATGATCAGATATGCAACATGTTAAGCATACAACAGCACATACAGTACATGGTTTTGTTTAATTACATTTGTTCAATTAAATTTATGTAAAACAGTATATTTACAAATACACATATATAGACCCTCCATTTAAATAAAACAAATGAAAATGCTTTACCAAATATATCACATTTTCTTTTATGTTCCCTTTTTCCCCAAAAGTGTTTGTACTCACTGTTGTAGCAGATGAAGACACGAGTGTTACTACATGCCTCAATAATCCACTGTCCATTAATCATAACAGTACACTCATTACTGCTAGGTGGTTGTCCAGACATCCAGTTCAGAAAGAGCAAAGGATCACCTGAAGACCAATGCCAATTATAAACACGCATCTTCTGAAGACCAATCCAGACATACTGATCACGTACATCATTCACACTCTTCATCAGCTCAATAGTGTCGTTCATGTTATCAACAGTGGCCAGATCTGTGTATTTCTCTCTGCAGTATCTCTGAGCTTCAGTCCAGTTCTTCTCCTCATTTATAAAGTGATACTGACGCTGAACACATTCAGATATGGAGCAGAGAGCTGTGAAAGAGACACTTGGGTTAATTGTTTTCAGAATAGAGTCCAACCTAATGAAACTATAAACCATAAATAAATTACAAACACACTCACCAATCAGAAGAAGAGAGGAATATAGAGCCATTTCTGAGGATAATAATAATAATAATCAAATCCACTTAATAGGAAAACATTTCAGTAAAATAGAAGCATGAATACAGAGTACACAACTGTAGAGCTGTACTAATATTTTATCTGATTATTTATTAAGCAATTGGTTTATTTTTTTTAATTTATTTTTTGAACAAACTCTTATTTCTTCTATATTTAAAGGGGTTTTAAAGTATACTCTAAATCTGATATTGTATTTCTTTATGAAAAATGTTCCATATTAAAAAATAAATACATTTGGTATCCTCAACTTGATGACCTGAAAAATAATTCTGAGAAAAGAAGGCAGAATGGAGGTTTGCTGCTGTGTTTAGAGTATGTGGAAATGAACATAAACTGCTTTGAGACCGGAATGTGTGACTTATGGGTATAAATAATAATGAGATGAAGCTCGTAGTGAATAAGGACATGAAAAGAAAAAAATAAATAGGTGAAATGAAGAAAATTGGTAGTAAATCTAGATTAAGATTAGTATTAATCTAAATTAGGTTCAAGTTAGGTCCAAGAACTAAGGAAAGGTGAACATACTAACAAAACAAAAATGGAGGATGACCAAAGAGATGAAAAAGATGTTGAGATAAATCCTTCCTGCAAGCTTGGCTCAGCTTTGTACCAGCTTTGCTGATATTTTTGAGAATATCATTTTGTCGTAAATATTTGTTTACTGTCCTTATTGTTTAGATTTCATTGTTGTTTTTCTGTGGCACAGAGAATAAATTAGATCATATGACTTAAATTGATTTAATTAATCTAAAAAAACAATAGCATCACAACAAATAATATGTTAGGATGATGATATAATAATAAATGCAAAAAGTTCATAGAACATCTTGTATTTGTGATTTTCCTGTAAAAAGGTGGTGGAACTGAATGGTTTTAATGTTCCAATGTGTAAAGAAAATTAGTAAAATAGTAAATTTAGAATTACATTATGTAATTAGGATAATGTAATAAGTCACTTTTACAGTCTAAATAACACTGTATTTATATCTGAGTCGTGGTATTCTGGTATTGGTATTCCAGTATTGTTTACTTACTGGTAAATAGACATATCTAATTTAAGAGTTATGTTCTTCTAACTCATACTTTTATTTTAAGTGTGCTGAAATTTTCGCTTGACGTACAATTTATTTATTTATTTTTTTCTGAGCCAATAACCACAGAGAGCTTTACACAATCAAATATAAACATAAACAGATGTCAGAAGTGTGTTTGTGTGTAAAGAATGAAGATGAGCAGTTCTTACCTCAGAGCTGGTGTGTTTCTGTCCTCAGTCTGCTGTTTCTGTCTGCAGCTTCAGACTATATGATTATTCTAGATCTGCTCTCATCTGTCATTCAAAACATCAAATCATTTGTTTATTACTCTAAACAAAGACCTTTTTTATTTTTCTTCCTCATAAACATATCTGTTTCTGTACGTCTGTAGCAGCGTGTTCATTTGAATGTGGTCAAGAGTTTGAATGTTCCATAAAATAATATTGATTTACATACCAGCTACAGAGGAAAACCCCACCATTTCCTTTTCAGACCATTTACTTTGCATGAATTTCTTTTTTTTAATTATTTTTCATGCATTTCTGTCCATCTCCAGGTTGGAGGAATGTCCTTACCACAGGTGGAGGAGTTCAAGTATCTTGGGGTTTTGTTCACGAGTGGGGGAAGAATAGAACACTCTCAATTTACCGGTCAATCTATGTTCATACTCTCACCTATGGTGATTTAATTCCATTCATCTTTATTTCTCTAGCACATTTACAATGTAGATTGTGTCAAAGCAGCTTCACATAGAAGATTATAGTAAACAGTGTCAGTCGAGTTTTCAGAAATGAAGTTCAGTTTAGTTCAGTTTAGTGTGGTTTAATTTTCACTGCCAAGAGTCCAAACAATGAAGAGGAAATCCATCAGTGTGCAGCTCCACAAGTCTCGAACTATCCAATCCAGTGGGGACAGCGGAGAGGAACGAACTTCACCAATTGGCAAAAGTGAAAGAAAAAAAAACCTTGAGAGAAACCAAGCTCAGTTGGGCACGACCATTTCTCCTATGGCCAAACGTTTTGTGCAGAGCTGCAGTCTAGACGCCGGAGGCTGGAGAACGCTGGACGTCCATTTTGGAGAGCTGCAGTCTAGGCTGGAGGACACTGGACATCAGCGAAGACTCGTCTGTCCCTGGAACAGGAATCAGTCTCATGCTCTCCACTCCTCCAAGACCACCACAGCAGCTGCTCAGGAAATGGCCTGGTCCGGGATTGTGGAAACCTTGACAATATCTCTTCACAGGTCTTGGATTGCAACAGTGGCTCTGCATAATCTCTGAGGGCCTTGAGATGAGTGTCCCCAACTAAAAATAGAGAATAAAGAGGATAATTAGCGTAGCTGCTGTTCATAGTGTATATAAACCAGATGCAAAAACCTGCATAGAGCACATTCATGCATCATAAAGTTATGTGATGCATTGAGTGTATGCTTTGCTAAAAAGATAGGTCTTTAAACTAGTTTGAACTGCGAGAGTGTGTTTGAGCCTTGGACATTATCGGACACATAGCCAGAGTTTAGGAGCCATAAATGAGAAGGCTCGACCTCCATTACTTGATTTTGTTATTCTAGGTACTACCAGAAGCCCAGACAAAAAAAAAAAACTAAACAAAAAAAAAACAAAACAAAAAAAAAACTTAAGTTTTAAGATCATAAAGAGTGAGTTGGATTGTAGCAAGACAGGAGGTTGGTTAGATGAACAGGAACTTGATTATTTAAAACTTTATAGGTAAGAAGCAACATTTTTTAGTCAATACGAATATCAATATTTTATAATCAATACACAGTCAAATTTTTTGCTGAACAGATTCAGCACTTTAGATGCCCGTAATTTTTATTTTTTTTAACATCATCATGCTGCATGTATTAGAAGATTTGCTGAAGTGCAGTAAGGGGTTTGCATTTTTGATAAACTATGGCAGTTTGTTTTTGTTGAAAAGTAAGAATAATTAATAAATACAGTGACAGTTTTATGTTCGGACATGCTTTCCACTCACACCGAGACTGAGCCCAACTGAACCACTGTGGCACACCTCTTCCAACCATGTCAGATGAGTCTTCTTAGTCCAATTCGTTTGTTAAGAACTTATTTAATAACATCCAAAACTTGTAGTCTTTTTAATACATGTCCTCCGAAAAACACATCCCTTCGTGTTGTTGTTTCCACCCCCCTTCATCCTACTGGTTAATTTGAATATCAGTCATTCAATATCCATGACACTTTCACCTTTTACTTTCTCTTCAACAAAACACCTTGCTCTTTATTTTCAATAAATTAACAACCATCACGCATAATATATTCATACTTCTTTTCAAGATTTCTCTTAACTAAACATCTAACATTCAACAACACAACATTAACATCAGGACTTTAGTTCTCTTCTCCTCTTTAACTATAAGTCTGGTTTAACAACTGGTTTTAAAACTCTTCCTGAAAAAATTCAGCTGGGCTTACTCCTGTACACGAAGTGAAGTTTATTTATAAACAAATTTCGAGAGGATCACGTGCTTATGATTGTTCACAGCTGTTCCAACTTTAGCTAATGACTAATTATGCAATCAGACGATCCTTAACTCACTATAAATAACCAGACTTTTCTCATCTCAATATCTTTGTCTTAAAGAACCCCCCCCCACCCCCCCCACACACACACACACACACACACACACACACACCCAACCCTGGCTCCCTCCTTTTAAAAGGGCGACACAGTGGCCAGTGATTAGCGCTGTTGCCTCACAGCAAGAATGCCCCTGGTTTAATTCCCTTCCAAACCAGGCAACATTTCTGTGCTGAGTTTTGCTCGTTCTATCGTGATCGTGTGCGTTTTCCCCAGGTCCTCCGGTTTCCTCCCACAGTTCAAAAACAAGCACCCTAAAGAATTAATCCAAAATATTTTAGCTAAACTCTAAGTACACATTCTCAGCATCCATATCCGACACTTAGCTACAATAAGCAGGAGGGGGAGTCATCGAGATCTACCTGAGCTCAAACCCCCATCTCGCCTAGGAACGGGAGGGAGCCCCGGGCTCGAGGATCTTATAAGCTCAGTGCAAACAAGCTTTTTTATCAATTATCAGCTAAGTGTGAACTCTTGAATGAGGTGTTAAGCAATAACACATCGAAGGAGAAGGCAAGGCAAGGCAAGTTTATTTATATAGCACAATTCATACACAGTGGGAATTCAAAGTGCTTTACATAAACAAGAATAAAAGAAACAAGTAAAATAAAAATAAAAACAAATAATAAAAATTTGTCAAAACAAAACAAAACATAAAAACAGGTAAAATGTGATATGAAAGAATGAAGAAAAAGAGAAAAACATGATAGTGCAATCTGTTGGACGTAGCACAGTGCTCATTCAGTAAAGGCACAGCTAAACAGATGTGTTTTCAGTCTTGATTTGAATGTGCCTAATGTTGGAGCACATCTGATCATTTCTGGAAGCTGATTCCAGCAGCGAGGGGCATAGTGGCTAAAAGCTGATTCACCCTGCTTTGACTGAACTCTTGGAACTTCTAGTTTATATGATCCTAATGATCTGAGTGATCTGTTAGGTCTGTATTCAGTGAGCATATCTGTGATGTATTTAGGTCCTAGGCCATTTAGTGATTTATAGACCAGTAATAATACTTTAAAATCTATTCTGAATGTAACTGGCAGCCAGTGTAGAGACCTGAGGACAGGTGTGATGTGCTCTGATTTCCTGCTTCTGGTCAGAATCCTGGCTGCAGCATTCTGGATGAGCTGCAACTGTCTGACTGTCTTTTTAGGAAGACCAGTGAGGAGTCCATTACAGTAATCCACACTGCTGCTGATAAAAGCATGAACAAGTTTTTCTA